CCAGCTCGAGCTTCCAGGGTGAAATGAGGATAAGAGAAGAAGGGACGCCGAGTTCAACGCGCTTCAACCTCCATCTGAGCCAATGGGAATTCAGGCTGAGCACCAACGTCACTAATATCTCGGTAAAACTGACCCGCTGAGGTTTTTAACGAAAGTGAAACTAAACTGAGTTTATTTTAGTCTGTGTTGGGGGGGGGGGGGGGGGCTTTATTTTAGAGTCTCAGCTTTGTTCATATATGAAAGGAGTAATAACCTGCTCAGATCCTGAACAGTGTTTTGCAGGCTGATGTGATGTAACCAGCAGGAATGTATTAACTTTCTGGGAGGTCAGAGGTCACTGTCAGCTACAGATCAGATCTTCTGGAGTCTTATTGTTATTTTTGTTCTGTGTGGCTGCCCTGGGATTGAAAACAGTCCTGATCAAAATATAAAAAAACAAGAAAACCAAAGTGTGGTTTCAGTGATTATGTGGTGAGGTGCGCCCTCCAGTGGATCAAACCTGCAGCAGCACATTTTTATTATCTGATATTTTAAACACATCTGTGTGTGACCGCTGTGGTTCTGCGTTGTGTTGGTAAGGTAGGACAGACGCCGTGACCCCGGGATGTGTTTATGGCTGACCTCTGTTCTGACAAACACACAAGGAAGCAGAACCTCTATATTAATTGTTCTGCCAGCTCCTGCACAAATAAAAAAAACATACAGAACAGAAGTTCGCCTAGTTAGTTGCGACTTTAAGCAGCACTCACTCTTCAAGAAAACTATTTTTAAGAGTCGGTTTGTTAAAATCACTATGTTGACAGGTGAAAACAGACATTATAACACTGTGGAAAACACAAACAAACAAACAATCACGACAGGAAATAATGGGATGGATAAAAGAGTAGAGGGGAAGTAAAAAAAGGAATTTATAACAGGGACCACAGAAGAAGAAGAGAGGAGAGGCTCTGAACTTCAACACACAGGCCTACATCCTACTGCGGTAACGTGAACAGCCGACTGCGAACCCGCGGTCAAGCCAGCCGCAGTCTGAATTTTGTTGCGCCTAAAGCAGTTAATACGGTAAGCGAGGCGAAGGTCCTGAAAGATACATAGGCGTTTTTATGTTACTGATTATTATTTTACTTATGAAATACATACCACGGTAACATAATAATAATAATAATAATAATAATGATAATAATAATAATAATTAGTATAATACTTTTTATATATAAGAAAATGTAATACATTTTATTATTATTATAAAAGAAAATTTCCCTTTTTTTATGTGGTGAAAATAACAATTTATATGAACTTTGACCTCTTAACAAAGTCATTCCTCAGTATGTTAATTCACCATTGGTTTCTACTTCACAATGAGTTCATCTATCAGTAACACATATTTGGAAACATTTTATTGTGTGAACTTGGAGAAATCACACACATATATATATATTGCTCCAAAAGTGAAAAGGAACAAACCGTTAACATTTGTCTAAATTTTGACCTTTGACCAAAACAATTCCTTAATAGGTGACATCACTGTTATCATATCCTTTGCTTCCTTGTGTGCTTCGTTTGCACTCTGCACAATTTGTCAATATGTCTATATTGTTTTTGTTCATAGTGTGTATATTTGTGTGGTCTACAGTAAAGTCTGTGTCTGATTTTATTTTATTTTATTACTGTGATATTGTATTTTTGTATGAGTAAGCACATCTTGAGCAATCTATAATCCTGAGTCAGATTCCTCATATGTGTACATATACCTCACAATAAAGGCAAGGCAAGTTTATTTGTATAGCACATTTCAACAACAAGCTAATTCAAAGTGCTTTACATAAAACATAAAAGCAACAGGGAAATATAAAAAGTTTAAAAGCAACATAGGGAAATTGAAAAAATACACATTAAAATATAATAAAAGTTACAGTGCAGTGTACAAACAGGGTTAAAAGAGTTAAATGGAAAATAAAAGCAGGCTGAGGGGTTGAGCAAATAATTGAGTTATCAATCTACTAGTTAAAGGCAGTGGTAAAAAGAAAAATCTTAAATATTTAATTAAAAACAATGGTAATATTGTTCCAAATATACGGAGCATAATAACTGAACGCTGCTTCTCCTTGTTTAGTTTTGACTCTGGGGACAGAAAGCAGACTTGTCCCAGATGACCTGAGAGGTCTGGATGGTTCATAACGAAGCAGAAGATCGTTCTGAATCAGTTGCAGCTGTCTGATGGATTTCTTAGGGAGCCCTGTAAAGACACTGTTACAGTAGTCAAGTCGACAGAAGATAAATGCATGGATAAGCTTTTCCAGGTCCTGCTGAGACATAAGTCCTTTAATCCTTTATATATTCTTCAGGTGGTAGTAGGTTGTCTTTGTAATTGTGTTAATATGGCTCCTCAAATTCAGGTCTGAGTCCATCCTCAGTCCAAGATTTCTGGCTTGATTTGAGGTTCTTAACATTACAGATTGAAGTCGAGCACTGACTTTCAATCGTTCCCCCCTGGCTCCAAAAACAATAACTTCAGTTTTATCTTTGTTCAATTGAAGAAAATTCTGGCACATCCAATAGTTGACCTGCTCAATACAGTTAGACAGCGCCTGTATGGGATCATACAACACAAGATAGTTTTCATGACAACAGTATTTAACTTCAGTGTTTGAAATGAAAACAAGGTGCAAAGAAATCAAACTGAAGCAGAAAGAGAGTCAGAGAGCTTCTTAAACACAAACACAGATCTGTCAGCTCTGTCCTCCAGGATAAATGCTCCTGATGTGGAGCTGTGGATTCTGAAAACTGCTTGAACAAGATAAATCACCTCTGTTGATGTTTCAACACCTGATGCTGCTTTTCATTTTGCTTTGGCACCGTTTATACTTTAAACACCGTTCCATCCTCGCATCATTTAAAGGTTATCAAATTTATGTTTAACTGAAAAGAAAAGTTCTTTCTTTCTTTCTAAGACTGCTTTTTATCATCTCAAGAACATTGCTAACAAATACAGAGACACTTATCCGTGCTTTTATTGATTACTGTAACGCTCTGCTTTCTGGTCTCTAAACAGCAGCTGCTATAAAACGTTGCTGCACGTCTTTTGACTAGGACCAGAAAGAGAACATTAACCCCATCCTAAAGTCTCTGCATTGACTTCCAGTTTATTTCAGAATTGATTTTAAGATGCTTTTACTACGTTAATGGTATTTGTCCAGAATACTTATCAGATTTGCTGTTACCTTATGAACCTACTAGAGCCCTCAGGTCCTCTTGTAGTGACTTTTTAATTATTCCTAAAGCCTCAACTAAAACTTATGGTGAGGCCTCCTTTCAATATTATGGCCTGCGTTTGTGGAACACCCTTCCTGTTGAGCGGCAGGAAATCTGGACATGTTCAAAGGCAAACTAAAGACATATTTAACCAAGCTTTTAACTGAGCTGTATTTATTTGATTTAGTTTAAACGTTATTCATTTATTATACTTTTACTATTGATGGGCTGCTACTCGTGCTGTTTGTTCTGGTGTCCTGGGGTTTTAGTGTTTCAGGGGTGGCAGGGATTGATGTTTGGACTTGATCTTCTGTTTTTCCCAGGTGCTTATTTGTGGTTGGAGGGTTGTTCTTATGTGCATTATATGGGGAGGTACTATTACTTTACTGTGGTTTTTAAACTATTGTTTTTAAATGGCTCTGTAGTGTGAAGCACTTTGTGTTACATGTATTTTTATGAAAAGTGCTATATAAATAAAAATTGATTGATTAACTAAGACTGAATTATTCAGGATTATTACCCACACAAAGCAACATGTGTTGTATCTTTTAGCTGTACAATGTAGTATTGTTTGTGATACTGAGGACTGAACTCTGGTTGACGAAGTCTCGTACTGCTCACTGCTGAAGTTAGTTTTAATGTAGTCTAGTGGTGTTTGCTTCATTGATTCAGTTTCTGCATCTTACATTTCACATTTATGTTGCTTATGTTACACATGTTCTCATGATTACATCTATAATTTATATAAATATATATTTCCATTGCCCCACCATCTTTGTACCCACTTCCCTCGCCTGAACCTGCCTTTCTGCATCAAAACCTGCTTGTAAACCTTTCCTCATCAATAAACCACTAAAATCATCCAGTCTTAGTGTTTATCCTGCTTATCCTGCGTACAGGGTCGCGGGGGGAAAGAAAAAAAGCTTTTAATAATCAGAACATGGAGAAGTTAACTGAAAATGTTACTGAACAAGTTTTTTAATTTGAAGTTTTGTTGTAGTCAACACCGCCCAAACCGAGACCAAGTCAAGACCAAGACCAGAGTTTATCAAGACCGAGACAAGACCAAGACTTTTAAGGGCTGAGACCGAGTCAGGACCAAGACCAGTTCCCACATTACATGACACACAATAAACTGTGGAACTAAATCATAGGTACTTCTCAAACTGATCTGAAAGAGTCACCATTTCCATTAAAACACCCACATACAAACAGTTAGAGCTGAAATCAACGTAAGCATTTTTATTCAGCACTTCTTTTCCATGCTTACCTTTACGGGAACAGTCATTAATGGTAACAACACATTTCTAAATAGGGTTATTGAATTTTTTATTTGAAGCAGTACATTTTACATCCAATCAAAGTTAGGATGTAAACAAATAATTCAGATAATGCAAAAGCAATTTATTGATATTCCCAAAGTTATGGTCTTGAAATAAAATCCCGAGTCCTCGATGTTCGAGACAAGACAGAGTAAAAATGCGGTCGAGTCCGAGACCAAGACCATCAAAAAGTGGTCTTAAGACCTTTCTCGGGTACTACAACACTAATTTGAAGGTCTCTTTGTTTCTCAAACTATTTCAGATGATGTGAGTCATCCATATCCAACAACTCACATGAATCCTTTATATCAATAAACTAAAGACAAAGATGAAAAGTGCATTAAAAAACTAAATGTAGCGCAAACACTAAGTGTAGCTTCAGTCGCAGATATTTAAGCTCATATGTGGACTCACAAAAACAGAACATTTAGAAAATCTGGGACTTTATTAAAAAGCAAATCAACAGTACAAAAGAATGAAATAGCAGGTCAACTTCATCTGACGTTTATCTACTTAACCAAACACAAGAAGTTAGTTTGAGAATCATTGATCAATTACTTTTTACAAAAGATACAAACATTACTTGTCTCTAAATACTAGCAGTAGATATAAGTATTTTATCAGTGTGCTGTAAACTGTACTGTAAAATACGTTAGTTAGTATTGATGCTTTTATTTTAAGTATGTTCTGTGTATAGGCGTGGCATCTAGCAACGCAGCAGATTGTGTCTTTACTGTAATAAAACATGTTTATTTCTTTTCCAAAAAGTTAAATTCCGATTCCCATTTCTCATGGAGCAGAGTTCACCCTCCTCTTCAAACTTCTGTGAGGACAAATACCTGCATTCATTAACAAACAGAACAAAAATGAATGATCGACATGCAGGTGATGTTTCAGACAGACATTAGTTACCTAGATCAATAGTGAGGTGCTGTCTTGACTTCCTGTAGTTGATGAAGTGTCCGACTCTGAAGAGAAAAAAAACAATAATCAGGTAAAAGACAAACATGGACATGATAGACAGATTAATGTGCAGGCAGTAACACATACAGATGGACAGACGTACACCAGCTGACCTGCTCTGGGGTGAAACTAAGTACTTTGGGCCGTGACTTTTTCTACATAAACTCACCGCTGTCTTCATCTAGTTAGAGGGTCATTATTTATTCCTGTTAGTGTAATTGACGCGTCAAGGGATGAAGATTGAGAGAATACAAGTATTACTTACTGATCTTTGAACACATTTCTCTCTTTCTCTGTCTTTTCTTTCTTCATGACCTTTACTTAAAAGTGACTCAGGCCCTTATTCAGACATGAGAATAACATGTTAAACTGACATTAGATTAGGGGTGTGTCTGAAAGAGGCTATACTTTGAATTTTCTTTCAGTTTTCTCCTAGTTTAGCGTGCAGACGTGCATGTGGTACCTCAGGGACACACAGTGATGAAACATGGCTTTCAGAGAGTGAGAGAGAGCAGGAGGGATGAGAATAATAGTTATGGTCATGTTAATAATAGAAAGCAGGTGGTGTTGAGGAGTTACATTTAGCTACAGCACCATCAGATAGACATTTAGTGTAGGAATATTTGCCTAACGGCGTGTAGTCCAGTAACAAGAATTCAAAAGTTATTAAATAGTGGTCCAATGAAAATTAAATGTTTAATTCCAATTCAGATTTAAATCCCCAAAGAGCCCAATGAGTGAAATATGTTTCTGCTATTCATGTGTGGAGGTAGTCAACACAGGCCATGACTTTCTCTACAAAAATGTTTAAAAATGGCTGTAATGTTTGTCTACTTTGTTTTAGTTAATTTTGGCATCACATTTAAACACCAAATTCATTTAGATTAAGACATTATGATTTCAGTTAAAATGAGTGTTTTCCCCCTGTGCAGAGAGACAAACTGTTTGTTTATGACAATGTTTTGTAAATTTGGTTCGTACCAATTTAGAAAATTCTAAATATAAGAAATTTGTTGAATGCCACATATTTAATATCACCAGTATGCCTCACAAGAAGTGTTAGCTGATAACAAGGGCTAACAGACAAGTTGAGGCCCGAAAACATAAAATAACTTTAAATTAAGAAAGTTAAAATGTTTGGTTGTTTTTAGACGTCAGCTTAAACAACAAAAGGAATCAAGTTGTATTCAGCACAAATCAATAACTGACCACAGAACAAAATGTATTTGTGTCTCCATCACAATTGTTTCCAGTCTTACCTTCGTTGGTTCTGATCTTCACTTTGTCCAGTTTGGTGATGATGTCGTCCTTCACACCTGAGAGCTGAAACACACATTCGTACTTCTCCCAGTCTCCAGTTGGAGGATTCAGGTCAACACTCATCTGGAAGGATCCATCGTTGTTGGGGAGGATCTCTCCGAGGTCCACGTCCTCATGAAGCTCCTCTCCATCTTTCCTCCAGAACATCAGGGCTCTGTCAGGGTAGAAACCTGTAGCGTGGCAGCTGACTGGAGAGGAGGGAGTCTTCTGGAGGAGAGACACTGAGGGAAGCTCTGGAGAGAAAAGAGAGAAGTGGAGGAGAGGTGAGAAAGACAGTGAGAAACAGAAAGAGATAAACATGGTTTGACTAAAAAGCAAATGTGCTGTGAGTGTCATCGTTTCTAAAATCCTACATTATTTCCCGTCTTCACTAAAACGGCCTCTGGAGTTTCGACACGCAAAACGGGGTCGACAGCGTTTCCAAAATTCTCCGTTTTAGGTCTTCGTTTTCGCCGTTTTAGACTGGACGGGAGGTGCAAAGGTAGCAAAAGATCTCTGTTTTAATTTGAAAATGCAGTAGTGTGGATGGGGCCTTAGTGTTGCTTTCACCTACTAAAGAAGGTTTGCAGCAGAACCTTAATCTCCTGCAGAGATTCTGTCAGACCTGGTCCCTGACAGTAAACACAGCAATCTTTCCATACCGAGTTCTGTAAGAGCATCCTGCAGGTGCAGAGAAAAACTAAAAATACAGAAAAGATCAATTGAATTTTACAATCACACACAAAATAATTATTGTTTTCATTGTTTGATATTTTAGTAATTGTTCCTTTGAAAAAGCAACCCATGAACCATACATACTTCATGGGTTTAGTTATTTGTTTGTTTTAAACATTTTTTACATTTCACATTTGATACTTGATTTTTATATTATATTATATTATTATTATAATATATTATTTATAATATACTATATTATATTATTATATTGTTGTTTCTTTATTGATCCTAAACATAAAATTACTTCTACATACTACTGACCTATGGCGGGCGTGCGCACGCACACACACGTTTGCCATTTTATATATTTTATTTTTAATATTTTTAAAATTTATTTCTAAAGCGGTCTGTTCTTCAGCAGATATATACAGTGTAGGGTTAGAAAGAGAGAGAGAGAAGGAAAACCACAAACATGATAAAGATCAACTTAAATGTGTAATTTGAATAATTGTACTGTTTTTAACAACATCGCTGTGTCCATGAAACTACATCAGGTCATGTGATTCTACCTTTTCTCAGCAGAGAGCTCCTCCCATAGGCCAAATACCTCTTCAGCCAGTCAGGACAAATCTGGGTCAGGTAGTTTGTTTTCTGTGCCATCAAAGCTCTGTTATTATCCCATTTGTGTTTGGTGATGACAGCCTGTGGTGTTGGAGCGATCCATGTCAATGTCTTCATGTCAAATGCTATGAAGTCTTCTCCATCATAACCATACTGATTAAACCCATTAAGCTCTCCAGTCTCATCGTCCCACTCACAGCCGTACATCCTCTGGTTAATGTGTGCACCTGAGAGAGAGACATCAGTAAACAGAGTGAGATCACAGCTCATCTATCATCAGCTGATATCACATCTTCACCACAGAGACACACTGATCCACAGACACCAGAACAGAGGATCTACACCTCCTGCTGTTGGAGTGTGTGTGTGTCATGTTATATCTCTGTTGGGACCTGAATACACACTAACTGATGGGGACTTGTGTCACAATGGGGACAAAAAAAGGTAGGTAGAGACAGCTTTTGGAGGGTTAAGACATGGACAAACCTCCAGTTTGGTCGAAGCGCTGCTTTGCAACTTCGATGTTGGCTTTGAAGACCTGCTGGGCAGCCAGAGAGCTCTGAGTCTCCCTCTGCCAGTACTGAGGATCACCTGCTGTGACTCTGCTCATCCAGTCCTGTTTGGGTTCTGCTTTCATGGTGTTACTGTCATAGTGAAACATCTGAACTTCATCAACCAACCCAACAATCACAAACTCTGGGAAGTTTGGGACTCCAGAAGACGCAGTGTAGAAATACTTCAGAGAGTGAGTCGCTGTAAGAAAAAGTTCATGATTTCAGTTTTAATATCAGTTTTATAAATCACTGAACAAAGTTATTTTCCTGCACACAGAGTCAAAAAGAACAACAATACAAGACCTCTTAAAATTCTCTATTGTGTGCTCAATAAATACAAAAACACTTATATTTATAGAAAAATATGTTGCTCCAGAAACTCATTACTTAAATATTTGCAATGACTTTGTATTGAAAAATCTATTTATACTGAAATAAAATATTAAAGTAAAGGGACAGAGGGTGTAGCTGCCCCAGACCCACGGTTCTCTCCGGTTACAAAGGGGTCGTCCTTGGACCCAATCTGATCATGTATTTTTATAGTTTGGTTGACTTTTTTGAATAAAGTGTGTTTGTGTGTCTTGACTACCATAATAAGTCAGATTCAGACCACATCTGAGTCTTCTGCAGAGGTTGTCCTCTCCTGCAGCAAACAGCACCAGCGTGGATTCCGTAGCCTATTTATATTGTTTCTGATTCCACAGACTCAGTATAGGCTACCCACTTAATAGAGGCCCAGCTCCTCTTGCGTTTCTTTCCTTTGGGCTGAACGAACGCGGGCGCGGACCAAATAACCGCGTGCCCTGGTGCAGTTCACTTAAAAATACAGTGATTGAGCTCCTTGTAGGCTGTCACACTGTCTGCTGTATTTCCTTTTTCCTCGCTTATTTTTTTTGTTGAGAAAATGAGTGTGAAAGTGTGAAAAAAGCGCCCACTGTAGATGGAGCCACTAGAAGTCCTCGCCCCTCTGCAGTGAGGCAGCAGCTCCGCGCCTTGTTGCAGTTTCTGGGGTCGTTCTTCTTCAGGATGCTTAGTAGTGGCTTCAATTTCTGATTATATAACGTCACGTGAGACCATTGTCATTTCTGTAAAGGCCTCTATATATTCAAGGACTTTTCTTTTACAATCAACCAACTCTACAAAGTTGTTAACTCACCTGCGGCTGCGCCATGTGGGCCCACTAATACCAGGAAAGCCAGGAAAACCAGGCTCTTCATTGTGACCTGTCGCCTCAAAACATTTGATGGAAAGCTTTGTGAACTGCTGTCTCGCCAGTTCGAGCACTAAGGGTGAAATGAGGGTAAGAGCCAATGGGAATTTAGGCTGAGCATCAAAGTCACATGACTCTGTGAATCTGACCCCCTAAAGTCGATAACGAAAGTGAAAGTAAACATTTAGCATTTGTTAGAGGACGGTGGGCTTTATTTTGCTGGCTCAGCTTTGACCTGAACCTTCAGCTGCTCAGATCTTGTATTAAGTTAAGTTTCTGGGAGGTCAGAGGTCACTGCAGCTACAGATCAGATCCTCTGTAGTTTGTGGGGATGCAGATGTCTTTTATTGTTATTTTGTTTTGTATGTTTGCCCTGGGAAAGGACTCTTAATAAAACCATCAGCATGTCATCATGTCAAGTAAAAACATACACAGCTTTCTCTGTGCCAGACGTTTCCCCAACTGATTTTATTCTTTCTGTTCTCAGAACATCTGCACTCGGAGACGCTTCATTAAGTCTCTCTGTGAAAAGTTAAAAATCAGGATATATTCACATTACTGTGCAGTCACAAAAACACACAAATTAAGGGCAACACATATTATATTGGATACTTTATTGACCTGTCAACCAACATGTGATCAATCACTACAGCAGGACTATCCCAAATATTTTACCAACCTTTAAAATCAGGGCACATTCACATAAAACAAAAGACATAAATTTTGAAATAAACTGTCTCAAGAAAAACATAGAATTTACATAGAAACTATACGTGATTGATTGTGATGATTTTGTGTTCTTATACATCCTGCTTTAAATCTAACCAAATGAAAAATAAAGAACAGGTATCATGGAACAGATTGACATAAGAAATGTGAAAAAAAAGATTTACATAGACAGATGTTTTTACCTACAGACACTTGTGTGTTAACAGCACGGTCATCTGTCCTTGTATTTAAAGTGGAGGGTGATGGGAGTGGATTTTATCTCTTGTCCCATCCCAGTCACACACAAATACTCCTGTCCTGCAATGAAAAGAGCTCCCATTCCTGAAAATGTCAGCCTCTAATTTGAATTAATTAGTAATTATGAACATGTTTAAACATTACGTCTGATCATGGGTCTACATACTTATTTGGATAGCACATATTTTTAACGTGGCAAAGATCCACTGTGGATTGAAATAAAGATGAAGTAAATATAGTTCATGGTTTCTCTTCGTCACCCTTCTTTTAGCTTCCTGACCAATATGTCTATGTCTCTCGTCTGCAACCTCAACTGTAGCCAAATATTTCCCATCCTGTGTGTTTGTAGTGAAGCACATTTTATCAGTAGTGTCTATCTGTAAAAAATAATTAAAAATAATTGAACAATATACAAGTAAAGGAAAAAAGGGGGCATGATAGACAGATTTATGTGCAGACAGTAACACATACAGATGGACAGACGTACAGACCATCCCCTGCTCTGGAGTGACTGTCAGAAACTGTCAGTGCTTTGGGCCGCGACTTTCTCTACACAAATGTTTTTATAATGTTACAACTCATGTATTTCAAGACAATACTTCTTCCCCACTAATAAAGAGGAGGACTTTGACTCTACTTCCATTCCTCTCTTTGTGACAATCCCTTTTTCTATCCAGACATGAGCTCTTTTCATCTAGCTGTCATTATTTCCTGTTCGCATGTGTGTGAAGTCTTTGGCTGGATATGCATTTATTCATCCATAACATAAAACATAGGAAGTAGCTGCTGGTGATTATCACTTTTGTTGTAAGAGAGTTTTTAAAAACATATTTTGCCCTCTTGGAAAATAGTTTTAAAACTGATGTGAGAAGAATCTCATCAGCAACTTAAAATTAGCTCTTTCACGGTTTATTGTACTGATAAATCCTGTTTTCTCGGTGCATAAGAGATCAAGATAAACTATATAATGATATTTGACGGCACATTTGTCTCTTACTTTTGCTGCTGTGGTTTTTATGTTAATCTGACAACATAAAATTCAGTGTTTCCCTGAAATGTTCTTCATGACCTTTACATAAAAGTGACTTATTCAGAATAACAAATTGAATTCGACATTAGATTAATCATGTAAAATAATATTTGACTTGTCAGAATAAAGGCAGTTACTGACAGAAGTGACTGAAAACACTTCATTATATCTTGTGGACGGCATGGTTTTGCTTTTGAACAACATAAAGACAGCAGAGCATACTGGTGACACGTCAGGCGGCCAGAGCAAGTACAGAGTCATTACTTAAGATTATTCATTTTTATTGTCATTGCATGGTACTTTGAACCAAATTCAAGTGAACTACCTAAAACTGTGCTCAAAATACACACAAACAAAACACAACATGAACGGTATATTTAAGTTTAACTTCCAATATCTATGATTTCCAATATTCAGAATTTTATTATATCTTATGGCATTCAGTTCAGTTTCAGTTATTGCCATATTAAAAGCTGAGTTTATATATATATATATATTATTATAATTATTATATAATAATTTAGAATATAATTTGTTAAATTCAAACATTCCCTCCAATATGAACTGATGTTTTGATCACTTTTAGTACTGATTTTAAAAATATTCCAGATTTTTAAAAGAGTAAACTTTCAGGTTTTTGCAGGTGCTAATTAAATTATTGATTATATCAGAAACCTGCACTGTCCTCTACTGTCTGAACTCATGTCGATCATATTTCTATGTTCACCTACACTAAAATTCTGACCCACTTAAAATTGTTATTTCAAATCTGATCAAGAATACATTTATTTAACATTAAACCTGTAAGTGCTCTCTGGTGGACAAACTCAGAGACGGTTTCTAAATGACCTCTAACCTGTTTGGTATTTATGTTCTTCAGCTTCTCTCAAACAACTTTTACACCAATAAACCTGCAATAAGTTAATATCGATTTATCACCAGCTCTACTAATCAGCATGCTGTTGTACATACAGTAATTGTTAAAAAGACCTGTGTGTTTATAATTGGTAACTAAATTACCAACAACACACTTTTTGTATAAAAATGATCAGTTTAACAACTTTATAGTTTTGGACAAGAAACTATAAAGTTTCTTCACTCTCCTGTGTTATTTTCAACACGGCTTTACACTTTCCAATTGCGTGCAATGTGTACGCCAAACTCCAATTTTGCGTGCATATGATTAGCAAATCCTTCCCATTAACTTTGGTGGACAGCAGATGCGTCCAAATACCACGCATCACCTTCATCGCTTGTGACTTCACTAGCGACGCACCAGATTGCACACAGTTCACCTGATACGCGGACTATTCAAAGCAGGTAAGCGGGGGAAACCCATTATAACCTCTAGTTTTGCAATGAAGTCACACTGTTTACGGTATCATTTTATTAATTTTAGTGCTTCTGCATCACGTTACATTTGGTTGATGTGTCAAAATGACTACAGCCTAGTTGTTAGTGGAACAGTCGGCTGCTAAGTTAGCACAGCTGCTAACTTACCCAACTATTGACATTAGCCTAAGCTAACTTCTACTGTATCTAGAAGTGTTGCAGCTTCAAAATAAAATAAAAAATTAAATAAAACTGTTTTAACCACGTGGTGTCATGGACTTCAAGACATGGCTGATGACAGTTCCAAAAATGAACAGACTTAATTAGTGTTAGCAATCGTCTTTAGCTGTTAGCTAAAGTGTTAACGTTAGCCTACAGAACCCCGTTGGGGTCACTTGTCAAAAAAAATCATGTGGGTTTCTCAGTGCGCACCTTCTTCTAAACCGGATTTATTCCCACATTAGTGGCAACATGGCACATGTTTAATCCCTAAAAATCGTGCGTGCAGAAAAACATGTTAATTCATACATTTCAAAAAGCTATTTTGCAGCCACTGTGGTGTCCCTGCTTGAAGTTATCTGTGGGTGCGGATACCAAGACGTAATCTAAACTGGCGCCAGATCAGTATTTCGCATTAAACGGACTATATTCAAACAAACCGATCCAAGATCTGCCAAAATAACTGGCACACAACTGGTATAATTCAACTAGGCATTACTAGTTGCTTGCAGGTGCATGATACTGCAGGATTTGATTAGACTACTATTCCCAGCAAATTTGACTGCTAAATTCATTATATACAGTACATTTTACCTAAAGAACATCACCCATGATGTAGACTAGAATCTTTGTTTCCAGCTAAACAAACAAACAAATTACAAAAAGCATGAATATGAAGTGGAAGATGAAATCTAATAGGTTAGGGGACATAATTGAGACCTTGGTAAAATAAAACAGAAATGTCTCAAAACCAAGAATGCAAAGAACGGACTTGTGTTCTTGGGGAGAACATTCTTGCTAGTTGTTCTTGGAAGAATGAACTTGCAAGAGCACACAAAATGCAGCTGACGGTTTGACACTATGCGTTGTTGCTGGTATTGCATAATACCCCAAGCGCCGAGGTTGCCTGCATTGCTCTAAATCGCTCTAATTATAATAACGGCCAGATTTTATCCCTCAGAACAAAAAGCTCAGAATCGGGTTAATTGTAGGTTTTAACTTAAAACGGTATATTTGCTCATACATAAAAATATATATAAAAAAAGAATGCTTGAATGCCGAAATGAATGCTGGGATATCTCTGCTATCAAGTTCACACAAGTTACCAACCGATGCATCCTGGGTGAAATGGGCGTGTCAAGAACACTTCGGGGATTTTTAACCTTTTTTTTTAGTAATTAATTTTTTATTAAGATTCATATCAAACATACAACAAGGCACATTGCATTCATATTCAATCAATCTTACAGCATGAATTGAACATGGAGTACCATATTGATAACTTTCCAAGAAAAAACAAAATAAATAAATAAAAGGAGCAAACAAGGATAAATAAAGGGAAAAGAAACCAAGGGACTCCGCAGTAGACACTAGGAGATGAGTTTGCATAAGTATTCATGAAAAAGTAGGACTTTTGTTTTGCAACATTTCAAGTTGTTACATTGATAAATATCATTCATCACTTTGAATTGAACTTCTTTTACCTTATGTGAGACAGGAAAAGAAAGGTAACTGGTTCTTTCTTATCTTCACTATACAATTGCTGGTAAATTTCTGGAAGATATGTTTTCTCTTGAGTGGTGAAGTGAAGCAGATCGAAGTGAGGACATTTCTAAAAAATGATTACATTTATTTTTATCTAAGAAATTACGTGCATCTATGATTAACGTGGGCTCTTGAGGAATAAACACAGAGTATGTTAACATACCTTTTACTAAAGTGATCAGAGCTTGTGGGATTTCCTTAATTACAGTTTTAAATTGCCTCTTAGTGCACATCAAACTGTATTTCCGAATGAAGACATCATATGCTAAGAAATTACCACAATTATCTAATAAATGAACAATCGGCCAGACACCCTTTTCCATCCATTCACTGTATAAAAAAAGATTCTCAATTGATATACTTCTGTTATTCCATATTGGGACTATGTGAGGAGTAAAGTTATGTTTGTATATGATATTGGCTGGTCTTCGGGGAAGTCTGGCTGATCCAGCCTCCCACATCCGATGATCCTGATTGGAGGGGCGCACCAACCCTCCTCCAATCGCCGAGCTGCCTGCAGGACCGCCTTCATGCCTTCTCTGTCAAATAGGCTGGTCTGCTGCTGGGTCGAGGCAACTACCATTTGCCACGTAGTTTGCCCCCACGCTGGTCCTGACGTTGAACTCTGTGTGAGCTGCACCCGCTTGCCCATTTTCTGTTTGACTTTTTGTTGTACAGTCTGTTTAATAAATCTTTCCACCCATACCAAAACCCATCTGGTTTATGATTAGGTCTCTCCTACACTTAGACAGCGGGGAAGTAACAATCGCCTTTTTTATAATAAAATTGTAACCATTTTAATTTGATGGTACCATTCATTGGGTCAAAGTCAGTGGCATTTAACCCCCCTTCTTTGGCAGATTTCACTGTATCGCTTTTATTTACATAATGATTTATTTTTCCATATAAAATTGAAATTATCTTGATTGATCTCCTTAACTTTTTTGTCGGGTATATCCAATGAGTCGGGTGGAAAGGTAAGTCTTTCCAGCTTTGCATTTTAGTAAGTAAAAAGCGTCCAAAAACAGATAAGCCTCTTTGAAGCCAACTGTTAAGAATAGCTCTATTGTTCTGAATGGTATTTTCTATGTTGGATGTTTCTCTAACCTTTTTATCTCTGGAAATTACAATACCTAAATATCTGACTTCATTTTTTACTTGGATATTATACACGTTAATGGTGGCATGGTCTTGAATAGTTAAAATTTCACATTTTTTCATATTCAACTTTAAACCCGATGCTTTGGAAAACAGAGAGATCGCTTTTAATGCTGCTGGAACTTGTCTTGCATTCTTTAAAAAAAGTGTGGTGTCAACTGCCAATTGACTTATTACCAATAAATTTCCCATGACATTTAGGGGTTGGATATTCGGGCTATTTTTTTTTACATGGATTGCTAGTAATTCGGCTACAATAACAACAAAGGCGATGTTGGACAACCTTGTCGAATGCCTCTTTTTATATCAAAGTGCTTAGATGTTCCAAATGGCAGAGACACTGAACTATTGATGTCTATACATAGAAGATTGATTGTCAATAAACTTATTCCCAAACCACTCCAAAGTCTTTAAAAGAAATCTATGTTCGACCATATCGAAGGCCTATAAAAGCCCAAAAACACAATAATTCCATCATCCTTAAGTGCCTGATTCAGTATCACTTATAACATCAGCAAGGCCATTCCTCAACCTGTCAGCAATCACATGAGAAAACAGCTTGTAGTCAGTGTTCAATAAGTTGATAGGGCGAAGAATATCAATATCTTTTACCTTTGCCTTGTTTGGGAATGAGAGTTATTAGTCCCTGTTTCATTGTAGGTGTAAGCGTCCTATTGCTCAAAATGTCCTTTATAGCCTCCAATACAAATTCTTTCAAGTCAACCCAAAAGAATTTGTAAAAATTGGATGTCAGGCCATCTTGTCCTGGTGCTTTCCCTACTGCTATTCTCTTAATTGCTTCATCTAATTCTGCTATTCTGATCTCAGAGTCACATATTTCTTTAAATGCTAAGTCTATCTTGGGGATATACGGCCTCAGACCACCAAGGAAACTGTCAGGGGTGTGTGGTGATGAAGCAGGTTGGTGGACCCAAACGCAGGGCAGCAGGTATGATTCAAAAGGGTTTATTGTGGCAAAACAAGAGGCGAGCACACTTACTGACAGAGTGGCTGAGATTCATCCAGAGAATAAACAATCCAAATTAAACAGATAATCCAAGCAGGTGCAGATCCAAGACAGTGATGAGACAGGCACAGAGCTACACATGACAGCTCGTCTACACACAGCAATGACCAGACAAAGACTCAACAGAAACACCAGGTATATATACACACGCACTAACGAGCAAGGTGGGAGCAACATGGGTGACAAGGATCAAGGATGAACAGCCTATCAAAACTGGCCCCCCACACATGTTTCCGTGCCAACTGACCTTATTGTTTGTTTTATTACCACATCAAAGGGTTACTCCTTGTGTCACCTAGGTGTGACATAATCCAGGACAGCCGAACTTTCAATGTAAAAGGGACTGCAGTCTCCAAAGACTCAAAGCATTTAATTAAGTTCAATTAAATCTTTAGTTACCTGATTACGTTTGCCTCTATTTGAGTAGTTATGTTAACTGTTGTTGATATTAGTGCTGAAAAGAAAGTTACTTGTGCAGTGTTTTTATTTTCAGCAAGACACTCCTTCATCTAATGTAATCCAAGCTTTAAAATTTTGATTTTATGAATATTAAAATTCATAATTGGGTATCAATTCTCATAAATTTATTAAATTGCATAACTAAAATTTAAGTTTGCTACACAAAGATAAAACAGAACTCAGATAGACATGGGCAAAACACAGAAGTACACAGACCAGGAGTGAACACTTAAGACATAAACTAAGGTACAGGACTAAGAACTAAGATATGAGACAAGACAGATACTAAGTAACTTAAAGATGTGGATGAATAATAATAAAGGCTACACAGACTAGAGCCAAATGAACAAAATCATAACTAAACAGATCATAACCACAAAACCAGACACACAGACAGTACCAGACAAACCAGCACAAACACACAGAGTAAACTAGACACCAGACATGACTGAAACCCAAAACACAGACTGACTACATAACAGATACTGGACACAGGGCAATAGACAGGACAGAACCCAAAACACTATAAGACAGATACTGTACAGATCAAAACAACAACACTGAAGTACAAGGACCAGAAGTAAATACTAAGACAAACACCGGACTGGGAACTAAGACATGGAAACAAAACACAGACTAAATAACAGCTACAAACCCAAACCCTCAGAATGAAAACCCAAAAACACAGCACTCAGGACAGGATCATGACAGACACTGAAATAAGAAATAGGAAGAAAACATGAATCAACAGTTATAAACATTAGTATTATTTTTTTGCTCTATTTTTGTTAATAAGCCTTAATGCTTCATATGATACATAAAAAAATTAGACAACAGCACATGAGAGTGTGAATGCTAAATTATATCACAAAAATAGTCCCAAACTAACAAAACCATCACTTCATATAAAGTCAGTTCCCCTTCAGTATCTGTACAGAATATCAGGTCTGTCTGATCAAATACTTCTGGTCTTCCTGCTCTTTAGTTTGACATCTACAGAGCCACGTTATTTAGTCTCTCTGATGTCAGTAAACACAATAATACTTAGAAATTTGTAGCTGCATACACAAATATAGAATAAACAAAGACAAGGAAATATGGACTTTTTGGGACTTTATTTAAAAGAATAACAGTACAAAAGGAATGAAATAGAGAAACTTCATTTGACATTTAACTACTTAAACCAACAGAAGAAGCTAAAACATTCAACAACCCTTTAAAAGTCTCAGCTAATAGCCATATAATGTTTCAAAACAGATCAAAATATAGATATTTTACAAAAACAACACACACCTGATTAATTAAGGAAAACCTCACAATCATAAGTTAATATTTATTTGGCCTGGTTTGAATCAAAACAAAATCTTTAAATCTTATCAGTGTTTAAGAAATATACAAGCAAACTATTTACACAACTGGAAAACAAATGGTGTTGATGCTTATAGTGTGTGTGTGTGTGTGTTTGTGTGAGGTTAGGGTGGGCAACACTGATACGACATATCATTGTTTGATTGTGTAATTTCAAGTTGTATTACTGATGCTGTACATTTTGTGAAATTCAATTTAGAAGCCATTTAGTGAATTAAACATAAACCAATATATTTCACCGCAGTTAGAAGGTGTCCAGTTTACGCAGCATGTTTTTGGATATCGCTGATTGATTTGCAGTTTTGCCAGTGATCGAATAAAACCAGAGAAACAAAGAACAACTTTCTCATTAAAACAGTAAAGACAACGTTTTACGGGTTGACAAATATCTGTTATTTATCATCATATTACCAGACCCTATGAATGAATGAATGTATATATATATATATATATATATATATATATATATATATATATATATTTTGAAGAGTTCTGTGATGCTTTCATTGTTGTTTTACTTCTCTTCAAGAAAAAAATATAAATGATCCTTATTTAATTTACCAATGAGAGGAAATTCCACTTTTTCAATTGAAACTAAATATTCAAAATAATTTAATGTCACTGTTAATATTTGATAACATATGATTTTTTTTGTTAACTAATTTTTAAAATTGGTTTTCTTGTAAGGCATTCAATAAGCATTTACTCCTCAATCCCAACCCTGATTCTATCAGTTTATAAAAGGTGATCAATAATCAATGAATTCCCAGTTTACAGAGGAGGATGTTTCTTGATCCAATGTAAAAGTTATCCATAAACCTAAAGAGACAAAAAGAATACAATTAGATAAACTAAAAAACTAAATAATTTACCAGAAATGTTCAATTCCACAAAGCAAAACAAGTATTTACCTTTTATGCTTTTGAAGTCATTTGTTTTAATTTGGATCAACACCAATTAAATAAATTTGTGTCACTGTTTCTCTAAAGGTTAATATTTGAGTTTTTAATATTTAATATTAAATTTACATCTAAATATACAACAGTTTCACCTTTGTTCTTTTCTTTACAACTACAACATGTCACAGAAGTTTTACAGATAAAGAAACAATCTCAAAAGTTTACCGATAGTTTAACAACAAGTGTAAAATTCATGTCCCGTATGAAGCAATTCACTGTGTTCAGGGTGGCGTGTTTGTCATTTAGGCTTTTGGATTCAGCTCCTCCAAAACTTCAGTGTTGCTTACAGCTGTAAGGTCAGAAACACACTGTTAGTCCACATCCTGCTCTGATCTGACACTGAGTTTTACAAACAGCCAATACTGCAGGAGTCAGGTCAGAGAAAACTGAATGAAAACAAGTTTTACTTACGAGATGGAGGGCGTTTGGCTGAAATAAAAAGAAAAGACAAATTATTTATGTTGTTGCAGTTATAAATGTCTGACTTTATCAAAAAAAGACGTTTTTGTTTTGGTCTCTCACCTTTGTTCTTTTTGTAAATGAAGTATCCAATGACAGCGATGGCGACGAGAGCAAGAACAACCACTGCAACAATGACGATGATGACAGTCATGTCAGAGGGATTCCCTGCAGAAAACAACAAAACACAGTCACAACCTGTTCAGATGAAGCAGGAAAATCCATCTGCCAACCAGACCTCAATCATGTATAATGACACTCTTTTTGTTTGTTCTGCTGTTAATTTCATTTTATCTCCACTTGTCTGAAAATAATTTTCAAAAACTTTCAAGGCCTTGATTTTTTTACAAACTTTCAAGGAAAGTACATTTAAGCACTTTCAATAACTGATTTGTTTCAAAACTTTCAAGGAAGGTAAGTTCAAGGACCCATTCAAAAACTTTCAAGGATTTGTGTTTTTTTCAAACTTTCAAGGAAGTTGAATTCAAGCAATTCAAGCCCTTTCAGTGACCCACTAAAAACTTTCCAGGCCTTGATTTGTTCACTCCACAAACTTTCAAGGAATTCAAGGACTTGTGTCTTTGCTGTTTCTGTTCCATATATTGGTTTTTGGAAAGAATGAATGATTTGACATCAGCGTACTCTACTCATCTTCTAAGACTGATCAGAAGTCAATACAGCACCTATAATCAATGAGCTGTGGTTACACGTTAATATGGTTACACATGGTCTGAAGAAAAAGCTGTTTGCACTGATTTAAAAACTAAAATAATTACAAAGGTTGTTCTTTAATCAAAGGTCAGTAAACAGACAGAAAAACCATCTGAGAGAGAATTATAAGTTACATTCCATCAAACTCATTTTTGACAGCTATTTCCGGTCCCACCACCCCCACCGGATGTCTGTATGTAACTGATAAGAGGGGGTGCATCCTGTCCCACCCCAGCCGGAAATATGTCTGTATGTAACTGATAAGAGGGTTGCGTACATCCTTCCATTGTGTGTTTTTCATTGATTTAAAGACTTTATTAAGTAATACAACTTGAATGAATTAACTAGGAGGTGTTTGTGACAATAAATTTATCATTAAAAAAGTATAGCAGTGAGTTATAAGTAAAAGGAGGAATCTCCGGGGCCAGCAAAGGATCAGTAGGAGGTTTCTTTGGAATCAAGTCAGTCTTTATTATTAAACAAGTGAAGAATAAATTGAAATAATGACAGTAAAGCAGTAAAATGGTATAACGGTGAGTAAAAATTAAGCAGCATTATAAATTACCTTCAACAGCATGCAGCAAAATAAGAGTGAGTTCCAAAATTAAACTTTGTAAAATCTTTGCTAAAGCTTTGTGTGACAAACTTACCATCATTAAAGAACTAAAGAATAAGATGAAATAATTACAGTAAAATAGTTTAACAGTGAGTTAAAATTAAACAGCATTTTTTAATTACCTTCAAAATCTTTGCTAAAGCTTTGTGTGACAAACTTACCATCAGTAAACAAGTGAAGAATAAATTGAAATAATGACAGTAAAGCAGTAAAATGGTATAACGGTGAGTAAAAATTAAACAGCATTACAAATTACCTTCAACAGCATGCAGCAAAATAAGAGTGTTCCAAATTACTTTGCTATTGCTTTGTCTTACAAACTTGCCATCATTATCACTCCAAAGCTGTAGCCTAGTCTTAAACTTGTGAGTCTTAAAACTTTAATCCTTCTAGAGTCTGTGTCTCCTCTTCTCTGTCCTCTCTCATTCTGGTGTAGCATAGGCTGTGGGGTGAATTGAGGAATGTGCTCCACCCCCCGCACCTCCCTCTGTTTTCTCAACGAGTCGTGTTGGGGAGTCGTGTAAACCCTCCCTCTGTTTTCTCAACGAGTCGTGTTGGGGAGTCGTGTAAACCCTCCCTCTGTTTTCTCAACGAGTCGTGTTGGGGAGTCGTGTAAACCCTCCCTCTGTTTTCTCAATGATGCGTGTTGTGTGTTTAGCTGCCATCCTCAGGTAATCTTGTAGACCAGTTATTAACTTTGGTTATCTATAACCCAGACTCCGGATGTTAAAAAACGGTCTGGTTTTATCAGACAGAGTTCGTGAGTTCGTTTTTGAAACAGGAAGCTATTTTTATCAGCCGGAGACAAGAGTTTGGAACTAAATAATAATCTGGTTGTACCAGAAGTAAGGGCCCCAACCCCACATGCAGAGCAGCACTCGTGTGTTTGTTTGTTTTTTTTTTGTTTTTTTTTCTTACTTCTATAAGTACCCTACCAGAAATCCAGAGGTCTTCACACTAGTGACCTGAAACCAGAGCGATGACCCTTCAAAGAGAACACGGTACGCATTTAGCCTTTCCTCCGCAATTTAAGAAATAGCAAAAATCGACACTTTGTATTTTCATTCCTGCGTGTTTTCAATTAACAGTTTTTGACTTGATCGACAATGGGCTTCATTCAACCGAATATCAACTTGAAGCTAAGAGGGCCTTCTATGTACTAGAGTGAAATAGAAATGTTCTAAATTTTAAAGTGTACTATCCTGATGTGTATTTTGGATATTGTTTTTTACAGATTTGTACTCAGGCGAGGAAATAGGTTCTACAAGGGAGAATGGCATTCCATCAGAGCAGGTTGTAGATCTCACAGGAGAAGTCGGTAAGTAAGGTTACCTTAACTTTTAATCAGTGTGTAGGTTTTATTTATTTATTTACAAACTTTTACGCAGATGTGGTAACAGTACTCTTTTCTTTCATTACACCCGCAGATGGTGCGAGCGATTGTGAACGGTACTTTATGCAGGGTCTCTCCCCTACCATTTACGAGGAGAATGCTCCGGTTCTGGAATCGGATCAGCTCTCGGCTTCAGTACCGCAAGCGTACATAACACCGGGGTCCCCGGAACACGATGAGCCGGATGTGTCCCCGGAATCACCCGTCGATGATGTAGAGCGCTCCAGTCAGGCCGCAGATGGGAGGTCACGTAACGGATCACCGGTAGAAGCGCGGGGACTGACAGCGGAGGAAATCATTCATCCGGACCCAGCAGAACCGTGTACGCCGCTGAATCAGACTGAGCCTATACCGAACAACGGACCACGGAAAAGGGAACACCGTAGAAGGCTCATTTCAACCAGCAGTAGCAGTAGTAGGAGCAGCAGTAAGTAAATTGTTATAACGCTCTAAAACCATTAACCTAGCAAATATGCAGTCATAAAAAAAGTATAGCCTATATACACAGTTTCCCGTGATACCATGTTGCTGATTATTAGGCTATACAATTAATGAGTTAAAAGTATTCCACACTATTTTCTCAAATACAACAGCATGTCAAATGTTCTATGCAGCAAGTAGTCTTATGAGTTAACCTGACTCTAAAAGCTATTTTGCTTCTTTTTCATAAAGTAGGCTATTACTGTGGTGTTTGTTTGTTTTGCACTTCTACAGTGTTTTGGTACTGATGTCTGACATTCAGGGTATTTAGTTACAAGATAATGTAAGAATTAAAAAAAAAACTAGTTTGCTTGTTTGCTATAAAGTATTAATGTAGTGATTTGTAGGGGTGATGCCTGACTTTCTGTATTAAAATACACAAAAGAGGTTAAAGTGTCTTTGTTTTTGTGTCCCTCCAGCAAACAGACCCCGACGATCCGTGAGAGGCTGTCAGAATTGCTGTCGGACTGCCCATGAACAACTAGTTCTAATGAGTAATGCTTTCCGACTAATGGGTGAAATGCTGGCTGTCTACAGTGATCATAATTAGTAAGGTGATTTATCTGAATTTGTTTTAAATGATTTTTTTTTGTTTGTTTCATTGGGTAATTGTTTTTATTGTTGATTTTCACTTGCAATAGTTAGATAAACGTGTTTATCGTGTTTTTTATAGTGTCTGTTTTAAGGTTTAAGTGTGTTTTGATTTTATGATAATGGATGAAAACAAACCGTTAGGGCTTAGGCAGAGTTTATCAGACGAGGTAGATCAACATTATCAGAATGAGTCAAACTTTCAAAATGGTATAACTGAAAATAGTGTAATTGAAAACGAGACCTCCTCCAGTCAGTTCTTAGATCCGTTACACGCTATAAATCAAGCTCTCGTTGATCTGGAACGCTTAGAAAATGAAATACCAACTGCTTTATTAGATGAAATCAACCAAATGAATGAACCCTTTCACCAAAACAACATCCCCTCTTTACCCGAACCCGAGCATATTCCTGTCTTAAACTCATCTGTGTCTCCAGACCTCTTGATTCAAATACAAAATGCTCTCTCCGAGCTTGAAAATAATGCAATCCCTGCCTTAAACCCCTCTACATCCTCGACCTATCAGACCCCCATTAACTCCCCCCTCATGGAGCAGGTAGCCAACACTCCTCCCTTGCAACAGCAAGGGGGCAGCGTGTCTCAAAATAATGACCCTGTGGCACCTCAAGCAAGAGTCATATCACGACATAGATTCTGTAATTATGAAATACGTCAGGTGTTGCGCTTTCCTTCTCCAACCAATGCAGAGGGTGTAGTGGATTATGCTCAGTTTTACAATGGTACACTGGAGCAGGTAGATGCGATTTTACAACAAGCCTTGTCACACAGGAGACCCCAAGATGTGGTGCAGTTGGAGCTAAGAGGTGAAAATCTCTGTAATAATGTATCAGTTATCTTACAGGATGGTGATGTTGACAATTTAGCAGGTTTTGAAAGACTTTTGCTTCGCATAGTACAATCCATTATTGGACCATTATGACAGATGGTGATCTAGAACTGGTTCTCCAAGTGATCACCTGCCCTACAGGCGCGGGTAAAAGAGCAATGGTGGATAAAATGTTACAATGCGAAATCTTAAAAAAAAACAACACTTTCTGTACATTGTAGAAAACGAGGGGAATCAGTTGTGTTTCGCCGTCTGTCTGGCTCATCTTCTACATCCCCTCCTCAACGATAGACAGGCTCTTGAATGCGGCAGAGAGATTCAAAACAAAGTGGGAATTGATGATCAGACACCTGTAGCCTTAAGCGACATCACGCGATTTGAACGTGCTTTGGACTGCAAAATTGTAGTGTTTTATAGAGGAGACGACGATAGGTCCCTCTGTAAATTCATGACCAAAAGCCCAAGACAGAGTAAAACCCTATTTTTGTTTCTCTTTCAGAACCACTACTATGGTATAAAAAATCTAAAGGCCTTTCTGGGTTCCCCATATCTGTGTGAGTACTGTTACACAGGGTACAACTGTGTGCTGAGTCACCGATGCCCTGCTCATTGTTCCGTTTGCTTTGACCCTACCTGTAATCAGAAGGGGTTCCAGCCTATTGTGTGTAAAGAGTGTAACAGGACATGTCGTTCAGAATTCTGTCTGACAAAGCACAAAGAGCCTACAGAGAGGCCCAGAGCCAAAAAATTAGCCAGCACGTGCTCGTTGTACAAAAAATGTAACAAATGTGCACAGCTTTACTACTCAGCGATGAGTGGTGAAGGTAAACCACACACATGTCCTGCGGTGAAGTGTAAAATCTGTGGTGAGAATTTGACCTCTGACGTTACAGATAAGAGCGAGATGCACCAATGCTACATCCAGACACTACCACCTGAAACAAAACACACAGAAAAATTGGTGTTTTATGATTTTGAAACATACGTCAATGAAAATGGCGTTCACATACCCTTTTTGGTGTGTACAAAAACGTTAGATGGCAAAACATGGAGCTCTCAAGGCAGAAATTGTGCCAACGAGTTTCTCATGCATTTCAGACACCCTCTGTACAAAAATGCTGTGTTTATTGCTCACAATGCTCGAGGTTTTGACTCCTACCTACTCCTCAACGCCATGCTTGAACAAGCATTAAAACCCTCTTTGATTTTGCAAGGTTCAAAAGTCATCTGTATGACAGATCCTGATTTTAATCAAAAATACATTGACTCACTGTCCTTTCTTTCCATGCGTTTAGCCGATATGCCAAAAGCTCTCGGTTTTGATGACAGAATTAAAGGCTATTTTCCCCATAATTTTAGCTCACCTGCCCATTTGACCTACACAGGTCCCTACCCGGAGCCAAAAATGTACGGTACAGAACGCATGACTACGGTACAGCTGAAAGACTTTAACACCTGGTACGAGACGGCGCGCCGCGGTGATTTCATGGCCCGCCTCTATTGTGAAAACGATGTTGAGATTCTCGCAGAGGGGTGCAAGCTGTTCAGAAAACAGTATATTGATGAAACAGCGGTTGACCCTTTTAGCCGTGCGACTATAGCATCTGCATGCATGAAAGTGTTTGTGACCAACTTCCTTCCTCCTAAAAGTTTGGCCATCCCCGACCCCGATAACTACACACGCCAGTTCAAAACGTATTCGAACGCAGGCATTCAGTGGTTGCATTGGGTGGCTAGCACCGAAAACATCTTCATTCAACATGCTTTAAATGAGGGGGAAAAACAACTAGGAAAATACTTTGTAGATGGTTTTGCAGAGATCCAAGGTGTGAAATATGTATGGGAGTTTCTGGGATGTTTTTTCCATGGCTGTCCGAGTTGTTTCAAAGCTCATGAGACCAATCCTTTGACCGGCCACCCTTTTGAGGAGATGCATGCGAGGAGCGAGGAGAAATTACGTGAGTTACAGGCCATCCACAATGCTAAAGTGATTGTCATGAGAGAGCACACATGGACCGAGATGAAAAAATCACATCAGGGGTTAAAAGATTTTCTCAAACAGTATAAAGCTCCTCAACCTCTCTCACCCCGCGAAGCTTTGTATGGGGGTCGAACCTGTGCAGTAAAGTTGAGACACACTGCGGGTGCTAATGAAACGGTAGACTACTTTGATGTGACATCGCTGTATCCCTATGTCAACTGTAACTTTCCCTATCCTTTGGGGCACCCAAAAATAATCTACAAAGATTTCAAAGAACCCCAAAGCTACTTTGGAATAATCAGAGCCAAAATCTGTCCACCACAGGGTTTATTTTTTCCTGTTTTGCCATATAGAACTGCAGCTGGTAAACTTGTCTTCACACTCTGCCGAACGTGCGCTGAACTTAATTTTCAGGAGGGTCCATGTCACACAGTGATGAGGACAGAGCGATGACAGGGGTCTGGGTCACTCCTGAATTTAACAAGGCCTTGGAGATGGGGTATCGGGTAGCTGAGATCACAGAGGTATGGCAATTTGATAGACAGAGCGACTCGATTTTTGTTCAGTACATGCACACTTTTCTGAAGGGTAAACAGGAAGCTTCAGGTTACCCCCCTGAAGCCAAAGATCAGGCAGCCCGAGAAAAGTACATCAAAGACTATCAGACCAATCAGGGTGTTTTGCTGGATGCGTCTAAAATTCATCCGAATCCTGCAAAAAGACAAGTCTCCAAATTATGTCTCAACACATTCTGGGGGAAATTTGCACAACGCTCGAATCAGACACAGACTAAACTAATCACTGACCCTGAAGAGTTTTTTAACTTTATGTTTTCTGGAAAATATAAAGTTAAATACTTTTCCTTTGTCAACGACAAAACAGCATTGTTGCAGTGGAGTTATGTGAGCAATGTATTGCCCCTCCAAACAAGGTAGACAACGTCTTTATAGCTGCTTTCACCACAGCTTATGGGCGTCTAAAGTTGTACAGTTATTTGGAGCAGCTGCAGGAGAGGGTCTTGTATTATGATACAGACAGTATTATCTATGTCACAAAAGAGGGGGAGAGACGGCTTGACCTGGGTAATTACATGGGAGATTTGACTGATGAGTTAGATGGTGATAGCATAAAAGAATTCGCGGCCGCGGGTCCTAAAAGTTATGCGTACCAGACTCGTAACAACAAAGTAGTACTTCGTGTAAAGGGTATCACTCAAACGCATGATTGTTGTGAACAAGTTAACTTTAACAGTGTCAAACAGTTGGTGGAGAATTATGTGCTAAACTCTGATGATGGGGGTGTAATTGAAACACCTCAGCACAATATTGTACGAGATAAAAGGGGGTTTTTCCTTAGAAACTCATCATTCCAGAAAAAGTTTAGAGTGGTGTATGACAAGAGACGGTTACTGAGCCAAGGTCAAACCCTGCCTTTTGGCTATTGAAGAAAAAAAAATGTTTTCATCCAATGAAATTGAGTTTGACCCTAGACTAAGAACACCTTTCTCCTGTCAAATTGTGGGGCCAAGCGGGTCCGGTAAAACTTATTTTGTAAAGTCTGTGTTGGAATCCTGTAATCATGTCATCGACAACATGCCTAGTAATATTGTTTGGATTTTTACTTCTTATCAACCGATGTACACTGAACTGCAGCAGAAGAATAAAAAGATCAAATTTGTTGAAGGATTGCCTGATTCTTTTGACGATGAAATTCTATTCCCACCTGATCAAGATCATCTTATAATTTTGGATGATGTCATTTTCCAGGCCTCTGATCACCCTGAAGTTGTGAAAATTTTCACACAGTACAGGCACCACAAAAAAATGAGTGTCATCATGTTGACTCAAAATGTATTTCACCGTGGAAAGCACAGTAGGACAATTAGTTTAAATAGTAACTATTTGGTTTTGTTTAAAAACCCTCGAGATAGATTACAGATGAGTATATTAGCTCAACAAATATTTCCTGGACGAAAAGCCTTTTTCTTAGAAAGTTTTGAAGATGCTACCAAAGATCCTCACGGGTATTTAATCTTGGACCTCACACCTAGTTGCCCAGAAACTTACAGACTAAGATCAGGAGTACTACCCCACCAGTGGCCCGTTGTCTATCTTCCCAAATCAAAGTCCTGATCCAACATGTCAGCACGTTTAAAAAGGAATGCGCCTTTACTGAGGGCTTTATGTCACGCCACGCCTCAAAAGCGTAAAGATATTCTCAACAATTGCTCATCGGACTTTCTTCAGTCTTTGTGTGAACTCTCTTTGAATCTTTTAAAAGGAAACATTCCTATGACCTCAGCTCAATATAACAAACTCAAAAAACAAAAGAAAATTATAAGGTTGCTGGCTAATAAAAAA